TGAGATAACCCAGACCCCCCAAAAAAAGGAATATGGTATGTACTCACTCATAATCAGACTCTAGTCATAAACAAAGGACATTGAGCCTATAGTTTGTGATCCTAGAAAAGCTAAATAAGAAAGTGAACCCAAAGAAAAACATATATTTATCCTCCTGGATACTAGAAGTTGACAAGATTGCAGGGCAAAAGTTGGGAGCAGGGGGATGGGGGTGGATTGGGTGAAGGGGAGATGGGGAGAGAGAAGAGAGAAGGGGAGGATTGGGGAGAGCTTGGGGGAATGGGATAATTGAGATGGAGGAAGGGTGGATATGGGAACAGGGAAGAAGTTATCCTAACCATGGGAGCCATTTTAGGGTTGGCTAGAGTCTTGGCTCTAGAGGGGTTCTCAGGTGTCCAGGGGATTTCCCCAACTAGGTCCGTGGGCAGCAGAGGAGAGGGTGCCTGAACTGGCCTTCTTTCATAGACACGGTGATGAATATCTTGCATATTACCATAGATCCTTCATCTGGTGAGGGATGGAGATAGAGACAGAGACCCACACTGGAGCACTGGACTGAGCTCCCAAGGCCCAGATGAAGAGCAGAAGGAGAGAGAACATGAGCAAGGAAGTCAGGACCACGAGGGGTGCGTTCACCCACTGAGATGGCAGGACTGATCTAATGGGAGATCACCAAGGCCAGTTGGACTGGAACTGATGGAGCATGTGATCAAACTGGACTCTCTGAGTGTGGCTGACGGTAGATACTGACGGAGAAGCCAAGGACAATGGCACTTGTAAGCTATTATTTATAGGCAATTCTACTACATGGACAGGCTTTGTGGGAGCCTAGTCTGGTTGGATGCTCACCTTCCTAGACCTGGGGGAAACAGGGAGGACCTTGGACCTCCTATAGGGTAGGGAACCCTGACTGCTCCTTGGACTGGAGAGGGAAGGGGAGTGGAGGGGGGAGGGAAATGAGAGGGAGGAAGGAGGTAAAAAATTTTCAATAAAAAATAAATTTAAAAAAATTTAAAAAAATAAAAAAGATACAAAATATAAGGCATTATTTTCAAAAAATTTACTTTTCTTCATACCTCTTTTTATCTCTATCATACCTTTCATTGAATATTATGTCTGTATCAATGATGTTTAAGTTTTCCACAATGAACAACGAATTTTCATGAAGTAATCTTTCAAGCTTCCAGGAAGAAGATGGGGCCTCACCACAATGACTCCACCTGGTTGATATGACATCATGATACTGATAACACTACTACAAGACCTATTTTGGGTACCAGCTGCTCAAGATGGTTCCAACTTGGTGAGCTGAAATGGTACACTTTTTTTTTCAATATTCTGGCCATAACTCTAAATAGGAACCTCAGAAAAACCCTCCCTAATACTCAGAGACTATTTGCAAATATAGCAGACAGTAATCTTGAAGCTTAACCATCATTTTACTTTCACAGTATCCCATAGAAAGAACATCGCCCCCATGACAGCTGGAAGAAATTCTAGAAGACAACATCCCCTCTCCCAACAAAGTTTGTCCTCAGGGTTAGAAACATCATTTAGAGGTTGATTATAATTGGTATAGGGTTGGGGGTTGGGGAAATTATGTAAGCTCAGGGATCTCTTTGAAAAGAAAAAGGGAAATTGGATGGGATAATAGGCTAATGTGAGCTTACTCACACTAATAATAATAGTGAGTAATAGAGTGAATACTTGTAAGCTATTATTTATAGGCAATTTACATTGGTATAGATTTTTGTATATTGATAAAAAGTCGAATTATATTTGTTATATTTAATATGCTCCTATTTCTGTTTACAATATTTGTACACCTAGACAAAGTTATTTTGTCATATTATATACATACATGCTTCTAACTCTGCTTAAGACATTCTGTATATTGATGACAATATTCGGATATATTATCACATTGCAATACATATTTCTACCTCTGATCAAGATACTTATACATTGTTTACATTTTGAGGTCATTGTCCTCATTTGTAACACAGTTGTTTAAATGTTTAATGTTAATTAAATTGTTTAAAGTTTTACTGTGAAGTTTTAATCTTTAAGTTATATAGGTATTAAGAATTATAGTTCAATAGTCATCCATGTTTGTCATACTTATAGTTAGACTAATCAGATTCTTGGGGTACATAGAGATTGTATTCTGCATAGATAAGTAATCTTCAAGCCCTTCAAAGAGCTATAGAATATGGCATTTAAATAACTTGGGATTCTGTTGATGTGAGACATGATTGTTCCTGGAAGCACTGGTCTATTCCAAAAAGAATGTTGAGCACCAAAAACACTCTACTTGGAGCTTGTTTTCCTCTTGGCAAAACTGGCCTTTGGGCAAGGAACTGCCCATGCCATCGACCACTGACAAAATGCATGATGGACAAGCAGGATACAAAAAATAAGACTGTCAAATCTTGCCAAGACAGGGTAAGAGGGTTTTGAAATGTTTCCTGCCTCTGAAAATGGTCTGTCAGTTACTCTAGGCCTCATCCAAAGTTGGTTGCTCCAATGTTGCAAATAAGACTTTGGATGATTGCCCAGTAGCCAGTTGTCTCTATCATTTGTTGCACATTTTGGAAGTTGCTTCATTGTACTTCCTGCTTACTCAAGTAATAGTATTTCTCTTCTCTGGTCTTCAATGGGGTTGAAGACTAGATAGTTGTAGTTACTTTCCACTCCTGACTTGGCCAAGTTATTTATAATATAAGTTATTTATAATATAAGACTTAAACTCACATGTTTCTTGCTTGATATTGTTTATGCTGGTTGTAATACTAATTTTTATACCTGATATTTGTTCTTATTGTATATAACTTTGTATTAGGTTTAGAACTCTCTTATTTAAACAAAAGGGGTAGGTGTTGTAGGAATTCCTACTTCCAGTACCCTTTAAGTTACCTGCCCACTCAGGCGTGGCCTCTTATACTATATATGCCAATGTAAAACACACAGTCCCTTTCTCTTTTGGCTGCATGATTCAGTTGCTGCTCCCCATTCGAGCAGAGGATTATGTTCTGTGAGTATACCCCTAAATTAATAACCCTTTATTATACTCAGTGCTGAGCTATTGTGGGATTTCTTTTTAGCATCCCTCTTCACAAATCATCTGAGGAAATTGGAAATGACAATGAAAAGTGTAAGGTATTAAATCATGGTTTTATTAAGTACATTAAGATGAGACAACTCTAACCCTTTCTCGTATCTTGGCTAACTCTGCTAAAAGGAAATCTCGGGTAGTGGATCTTTTGCTTTTGTGAATTAAAAATTAAAATGTAGGCAGGCATGGTGGTGCACACCTTTAGTCCTAGCACTTGGGAGGCCAAGGCAGGCAGATCTCCGTGAGTTCAAGGCTAGCCTGGTCTACAGAGGGAATTAATAAACAAAAAACCTAAAATGTAATACTGTGGGCTTTTGTTGCTCTTGTTGTTAGTGAATTAAAAACCAAAAGTATAATTGGTTTCTTTTATTTTGTTGTTGTTGTTACTAATTCAATTTTATTATTTTTTCTGCTCTGTCTTTCTGAGGAAAATGCATCCTCCCTCATATGTGTCTCTTGAGTACTCAACTGTGATTACAGAACCAAGCTTCTACAGTCAGGGTAGAGTCTTCATCTCTGTGCTGTGGCACACGGCAGACAGCTGAGAATTATCAGGTGTCCACTGCGTTAGAGAACTACTGTTGGCCTCCCTGGAGGAGCAAAGGTATAGGAAGCTCTGTACATACTCGTGCTAACAAAGTAAGAGTTTACAGATTACACTGTAACAGCATCAGTGAGTGGCTGGCTGAGTTAGACAGCATGCTGTGTAAGTGTGAGGGCTGGAGCTTGAATCCCCAGCCCCCTTGTAAACAGCAGGGCATGGCTACATGTGTCCAGTGTGGAGAGCAGAAATGGGCAGATCCCAAGAATCCCTGGACAGCAAGCCTAGCCAAAGGGCTAAACTTAGGTTCAGTGACAGACCCCGTCTCTAGGCAAGAAGGCAGAGTGATGCAGGGAAAAAAAGAATTCCTAAGAATTGGGTGTCTACATCTCCTAGTTGCTCTTGCTCACCTTATTCAGTATGGTTCTTCATTTGGTGCCCTTTACATGGGTATTATTAGCTGGTCCTTCATTTAAGTCTGAGGCAGGACCCACCCACCAGGAATCAGGAGACCCTACCTAAGCCCCAGTGTTGGCTGTTTCCTGCTGCAGATGAGGAAGAAAGGGCTTGTGATCAGAAGGTAGGGTCCATCTAAGATATACCCAGTGCTCATAGAGCACTGCCAGAGATGCACACAGCAAGCATCCACTACAAGTCTTGTCCTTGCTATTACTTCCCACCAAAGCACAAGTGTCCATCTGCATCTCTCAAGTCTTCTCTCCTCATCTCAGCCATCTCACAGCATCAAAGAAACCTGGTCCTGTTCCTCTGAGTGGAGCCCGAAGAACTGAATGGGCTCCCTCAGGGAATGCTTCAAACACATCTGGCTGAAACTGGAAAGATGATGAAACTACAGGAGGCTTCAAGCTAAGCAGAGCCTGCCTGGTATGAATTTAGAAGAAGGTCTCTCAAATTTGGTGTGGGAAGTCCTTCTGTCTGTGTTACTTTTATTGGTTAATGAATAAAAGAAACAGCTTTGGACCTATAGCAGGGAAGAACAGAGCTAGGTGAGGAAAAACTAAACTGAATTCTGGGAGGAAGAATGCGGAATCAGGAGAAGCCATGAAGCCTTTGCCAGAGAGAGATGTACCAGAACTGTATCTAGTAAGTCACAGCTACATGGTGATACACAGATTAATAGAGAAGGGTTAGTTTAGGATATAACAGCTAGCTAGAAATATGTTTAAGCTATTGGCCAAACAGTATTGCAAATAATATGGTGTCTGAGTGATTATTTTGGCTAAGTAGCCAGGAATAAATGAGCAGTCTCCTACAACATAAGCTATTTGTTTAATAAACACAAACTGACTGGTGAACACTAGAGTTGCCTTAGTGGAGACTTACCTTTTCCTGCAGCACCTTTTTTAGTCTTCGATTCCTAAAACCAAAACAGTAAGACAGCATTAATATAGGAATCATTTCTTTTTGTTTGATTGGTTGGTTGATTTTTGTTGGTTTAGTTGGTTGCTTTTGTTTGTTTCTTTCGAGACAGGGTTTCTCTGTGTAACTTGTTCTGGTTGTCCTGGAATTCACTCTGTAGACCAGACTGGCCTCAAACTCAAAAATATCTAACTGCCTCTGTCTCCCCAGTGCTATGGTTAAAGGCATGTGCCTCCACTGGCCAGCAACTATGAATCATTTCATATAAAATTAAATTTTGTCTTGGGCCAGACAGGAGATGTAAAATTAATTGAAATGACAATGACACATTTGGATACTGGGCTAGTGAATGGATCAAAAGCTACATGTCACAGTGTGTCTTGTTTGCTGGTCACAATAATCACTGATGAAATGAGACACACACAGGAGACTCCGGTGAGGCAATTTTACCCATGGTTTGCCTCACTTGGCACTCAGTTCATGTTTACTGTATAAACACGGTGCACATGCTTCAGAGAGGTCGCTGACAATCTTCTTCACAGCTGAGGGAACAGCACATGTGTTCCATCAAGAAGATGGAAACAACGGCAGGCTTCTGGTAATAAAGACACCAAGAGCAATGGATACAAACTTTGGCATCTCAAATTCATTACTATTGCGGCCCCCAAATCTGGACTCTTCCAAAAGTGACAAAAATGACTGCTTCTCCATTGTTTACAGCCATTGCTCCCTCCAGAGTCCCAAGCTGCCATTTTCAGGCTAGTGTGACTTAGGCCCTCATCTACCGTTTTTCTTTTTGAGACATGGTCTCACTGTAGCCTTGGCTGGTCTGGACTCACCTTGGCTAGCCTTGAACTCAAAGATCTTCCTACCTCTCCCTCCTGAGTGCTGGGATTAAAGGTGTGTATCACCTCACCCAGCTCATCTCCACCATATTTATCATAGAGAATCCAAGTGCCTTGGAATAATGCCCTGTGTCCTTACCTTTTCGGGAACTGCCTCCTTAGAGACTGAGGCTTCATCTGGGTCTTCGGGCAACCGGACAGTTAACTTGAATGTCCCTTTCCCTGGCCACACTAACTCATGATTCCCTTTCTCTAGAACATTCTGCCGAACTGAAACATTGAAAAAAATATTTTAAGCCAAATTGCAAGCAATCTTTACTTACATAATTAGTCCATGGTTTCTACAGACTTCACCATTATGAGCCAGCAGCTCAGCCCGTCTCCCCCAGCAGCAAGCCCTTACAAAAGAAGGAGAACTCAGCACAGGGATGTGATTGTCAGTTATAGTGCATTATTCATGTTGTAGATGTGTGGGCATATGGAGGAGCGCACACCCCTGGTCACGTGGAGGCCACAGCAGGACACTGGGCATTTCCCTGCATTGCTCTCTACCTTCCGGCCTGGAGATGGGGTTTCTCACTAAATCTGAAGTTTGCCCATTGGCTAGGCTCACTGTGATCTGCCCATTCTGCCCTCCACACTACATGGATCCATGCCCATCTGTTTAAGAGGGAACTGGAGATGCAAAATCTGGCCCTCACACTTACACAGCAAGCTATCTAACCCAATAAGCCATCCCCCTGCCCCTAAACTTACTGTGGTGGTGTTTATTTGCTTATGTTACTTTGTTGAGACAAGGCTACTACGTTGCCCTGGTTGGCCTAGGACTTGCTCTGTAGACCAGGCTGAACTCAAACTCACAGAGACCTGCCTGCCTCTGTTTCTCACGTGCTGGGGTCAAAGCATGTGCTGCCACGCCCAGATTACATTTTAATATTCATTGCTTTAGCTTAGTATTCCCCAAGGGTCTTGAGATTACAAACGTGGTTGCCAGCTCATGGTCATTAGGAAGGTCCTGGAAGCTTTAAGAAGTGAGGCCTAGAGGAAGTCAGATTCCCCCTGGAGAAGGGATGATCCTGGGACCCCAGCCCTTTTCTCCTTTCTGTATCACTACAGAGCCAAGAGTTCCCAATAGGGTGTACTGTCTTGTGCCATTGGCCCCAAAGCAGCTGGCCAACTGACTATTAACCAAAATCTCCAAAATTGTAGAGCCCAGATAAACCCTTCCTCTATTCAAGGTGATTATCTTGGATTTGTTATCACACAAGGGAACTCTGGTGAATCCTGTCAGCATCCTGGTAAACAAATCCTACTTACACAGCCTCAGTATTCTTACTGACTACTGAGGTCAGTGAAATTGTTTTGAGCCAGTCAGTGCATTGCATTGAAGAACCATAGAGTGTAGTAGAACAGAACTTGTACTGTACTGGGTGGGCTCTGAAGGTGGGAGTATTTATAATTACAGGGACAACTGGGTACCTGGGGTGAGAACCATGCTGTAGGGAGATGGCACAGTTAGTTAGTCATCAGAATGACCAGAAGTCCAGCCATTAGCCTACAATGATAAACAACTAATATTCAGTAGTAAAGCAAGCAGAAAAAAAAGAAAGAAATAGAAGTAATTTTGCAAAAACAGAATTAGAGCACCAGACAGCTAACTAAGTGAAACTCAACAGAATCCAAAGACTTGTCATTTGATTACAACTCACCCACAGTCTAGCTGAGTGGCTATAAAGAAATAAACACTTATGGAGCAGAGGTTCCCCCACTGAAAGTATTTTCTAGGAATGCTGTCAACCACACGAAGAGCTATGAGAATGTGAACTGTAATATCAGAAGCTGCAACCAGAGGGAGAAGAGGAAAATCAGTGTCACTCAGACCATGGAGAAGCAGAAAGGAACAGAGAGGGTCGTGGCCATCACAGAGAACAAGAAAGGAACAGGAAGAAGCATGGCCATCATTGAGACCCAATAGGAACAGGAAGGGGCAGAGCCAGCATGGAGAATAGAAAAGTAACAGGAAGACCCCTACCAGCATAGAGAACAAAAAGGAAGGAGAACATGAAATGAAAGGAAGGGGCAAGGCCAGTATAGAGAACCAAAAGGAATAGGAGGGGTGTGGCCAGCTAGAGGATGGTGCAAACAGATCAAGGAGAAAGATTCCAGTGACCTGGTGTTCACAGATACAGCAATGTTAGATTCCCATTGTTCTCTGATGGACAGCTAATCTGATGAGCTCAGAGCCTATCACAAAGGGAAACATGATGGCTCTCCCACCTCAACCATGAAGTCGGTATGTCTAGTGACTTCACTTAGATGTACACCTAGATACAGGCGCTAGAATCCATTCGAGAAGGAACATGGGACTCTAACTCTACTCTATGAGTCGTCAGAAGTTTCCAGAGAAGCTGTACCAGCTGGTGAGGGGACTGAGGACTGTGTGACCTCAGTGTGACCTCTGTGTGAACAGTCAGAAGCCTGTTACCGAATGTCCTGCATCTCTCTGCTACCTTCCTACTCTTTCCTGGACTTTGGGGAATTCCATCCAAGGCACCCAAGGATGGCCATCTCTTCTTGGATGTGTGCAATGTGTATGGACTCAAGTATTGCCAGAGAGCCACGGTGGCGATAACAGTGTGTGATTCCCATCCAGAGAGTGAATCTGGGAGGAGGAGGCAAAATTCTGCACACCTCAAGTCAGCTCTGTTCAGTTTTACATAAAAAGGTGAATTCTAGGGTTGCAGAGATGACTCCATGGTTAAGAGCACTGGCTGCTCTTCTAGAAGACCCCAATTCTGTTACCAACTCCCACATAATGGCCTATGACATCTGTAAGTCCAGTTCCAGAGGATTTAATGCCCTCTTATGACCTCTGCAGGCACTGCATGCATGTGTTATACAGACATATAAAGAGCAATCACCCATATACATATATTACAAATAAATCTTTTGCATATGTGTGTGATTTTAAAGTCAAAGTTTCTTTGTGCAACAGTCTAATCATCCTGACTGTCCTGGCATTTGCTTTGTAGACCAGGCTGACTTTAAACTCACAGAGATCTGCCTGCCTCTGCTTCCCGAGTACTGGGATTAAAGGTATGCCCCATGACTGCCCTGTTAAATCTTATTTTTTCTTGAGAAGATGAGTTCCCTCACTTCAGGAATACATAGGACCTCACTAAATAAACAGAATCTCATTTAGGATTAGAAAGTATATTAAAGTGTGCCCATCTGAAATGGGGTTACAGTGATTTGAGTTTGTGTCTGAGAGTGTAGCTCAATGTCCTAAGGAAAAAAGACCTACATACTCAACAGTACACGAATCCAGTTAACCAACAAAGGTGAGACCTCCCTGTTGGTACCGGTATACACAAATTTCTATTGAGCTTACTATACTGGTAGACTCAGTAGTATTGTTGAGCTATTGTAGATTTATATGAATTCATGCCTGCTCAGGGTGTTTCTGGGACGGAAGGTGGGGCCTCTACAGGAAAGGAAAGCTACTGCCCTAGGGAAATTCCAGCTGCCTTGCTGCTGAGGAGGAAGTGGGACCTCAAATAGAAAACTGGAAGTGAATAGAAGTTCTAATCATCCCAAGGACTGACCTGCAACAATGTTCCATTTTAATGTTCTGAGTCATCTGTGTTGGGAGTGAATGAGAGGAAGCAGCTGAGCCACCTGGGAGAAGAGGGGGCTGTGCACTGGGAGCCCCTGAGGGAGAAAGCTGAGCTGGGGGTGTGAGCCCAGCCTCCACCTCAGCTGCCCAGGGCCTGCTGTGAAGGCTACAGCTGGGGCTGCACCCTCACTACCATACTTCCCCCTGCCGTGTATGTCACTAAACTACCAGTATCTATAGATCTCCATTTTGTTGGTTTGAGGCTCTCAATAAACAACAGAGTTTTTCAGACTTCAGCACGTCCCAGTCACCTCAGAGAGCTGGTGGCAAATGCTTCCCCACTCACCCACATTCTCTGTACCAAAGTGTCTAGAACAGAGCTGGGCTGGGTCTAGTTCCCCCACCCTCCCTGTGACCAGGATGCAGTAGTCTGTACCCCTAAAATGCGACCGACATTTGGAGACAGCTCAAGAGAAGGACACACTCCATAAGGGTGGTGTCTACTGGGGTAGTGACAGCTGGGATAAAACTGGGAACCCTCTAACCCTCTGAGGAGGTTCTCAACCTGTGGGTCAAAGGTCCTTTCTCAGAGGTAGCCTAAGACCATCAGAAGCAGAGATATTTACATTACACTTAATAGCAGCAGCAGAATAACAGCTATGAAGTAGCAACGAAAATAATTTTATGATCGGGATCACCACAGTTTGCATTATAGGGTTGTAGCAGTAGGAAGGTTGAAAACCACCGCTTTAGGAAAAGAGAAAATGAGAAAACAGGTTCTGCTACCAGCTGTCTGTGGAGCACACCCTGGTGAAATCAAACCTAGAACAATAAGGTCCTTGCTTTCCAGAGGGATTCAGTGCCCTGAAGGTGTCTAGTGCCTCCTGACCAGGTTTCTGAAAACCTGTGTCGATACCTTCTACACCTGTCTCTTTCTTTCATTTTTGATTCTTGGGTCCCTGTTGGTCCATTATCTTGCCTACAGCCTGGCGTCTTCCATCCCCTTGTCTCTCCTCTGCCCCAAAAGTTTCACAAATTCAAGGACAAGAAGGAGGAATTGTCTGCATTCTGAGGATGACCCTGGTCTACAGAATCTCAGGGGGCAACTAATGGTGGCCTTCCAGAAGCCACAGGTCTGGGACTTTCAATCACCCACCTAAGCAAGCAAACAAGGCTGGGCCTCCCTTGCAGACTGCAGACAGATGTAGAGAACTTTCAACTGCTCAACTATTCCTGTGCCTTCTTGCAATGAGGGAACCCTCCACCGAATCCCTCACCCCAGATCAAAGCTGACAATCACTTCAGACTTGGCGTAGAAGGACAAAGCAGGAACTTTATCCAGGCTGTGGTACAAGAGTTCAAGGGCTTTTCCCTCCTTAAGCTCACCTCCCAAAGAAAATTCTCCCTTCCCACTGACAGCTAGAACCCTGTGGTACTAGCTGACCCACAACTCCTCAAGATTCTTAATTCTTTAACTGCACCACTTAAATAATAAAAACAGGAAAGGAAAGGAGGGAGGGAGGGAGAGAGGAAGGAAGGAAGGAAGGAAGGAAGGAAGGAAGGAAGGAAGGAAGGAGAAGAGAGAGGGAGGGGAGAGAGAGAAAGGAGAGTGGGAGGGAGGAAAGGAAGAAGACAGAGAGAGGAAAAGAGAAAGAAGAAAAGGAAGGAAGGAGGGAGGAAAGAGAGAGAGGAAAGAAAGAAAGAAAGAAAGAAAGAAAGAAAGAAAGAAAGAAAGAAAGAAAGAAAGAAAGGGAGAGAGAGAGAGAGAGAGAGAGAAAGGAAGGAAGGAAGGAAGGAAGAAAGAAAGAAAGAAAGGGAGAGAGAGAGAGAGAGAGAGAGAAAGAAAGGAAGGAAGGAAGGAAGGAAGGAAGAAAGAAAGAAAGAAAGAAAGAAAGAAAGAAAGAAAGAAAGAAAGAAAGAAAGAAAGAAAGAAGCACTGGAAGCTTCACAGTGCCAGGAAGCTTCTGTAAAAGCAAGGAGAACCACCACTCCAGGATGCACTCGCCACTCAGATTCTGCCACCCAGAATCTCCCTGCTCCCAAGGCGCTGCAGCCAAGCCTTCTGAACCTGGCTCCCTGGCCCTGAGCCCCGTGCGACCCTCCTCAGCCTTCTTGCCCTCACCTTCCTCCAGAGAGAAGAGCACCAAGAAGCTCGCTGGGCTCCCGGGCCGAGGGACAACCTCGCACTCCCCTCCGCCTGACTTCTTCCTGCTCTGGAAGTACGTTTGCAACTCCTGGATCAAGGTCTTCGGAGGGTCTGGGTCCCAAGACCCCTTGACCAGCAGCGGGAACTGCCCAGGCGCTGCCATCCTGGCAGGCCTGGGAAACCACCACTGCCTGGTCACACAAAGCAGCACAAAGTTTTATTTGAGTTAACTTCTCTTTCATTTTCATTTTCACCCAGCAATCCCAGATTGGAATAAAGCAAACCCCACTACACACACACACACACACACACACACACACACACACACACACACACACACACAAGGACCCCTGGCACTCCCAGTCCCCTCTTTCTTCTCCCTCCCCCAACATTAGTAAGTCAATCCCACAGAGCTCACAGTCCCCAGAACTCTGGTCTGCAGAGCACCTTACACAGTGGCTTCCTAACTGGGCTCAGCCTGCACTTCACCCCAGCCACAGCTAAGATTTGTTTCATCCCTAGGATAACTTCAGTATACATGAAACTCGTATTGTAGGAGAGAAGAAAGGGATTCACAAATGATCCTCTCAGGATGCTCTCTGCTCACTTGGGCATCACCACCCGTCAGAATTTAACCTTTTTCTTGCTTCTGAATTATGTTTTCTCATCTGTGAACACTGTGTCTACAAACTCCCAGTTTTGAGGAACATGACTAGACACCAATCATGCTTTCTGGGTGTACAACTAAGGGACACAGATGTGGGGACACAGGAGGTAAGACAGTAAACAGATGCTGCTGGAGCAGGAGAGCAGGGGTTCCCAGCCTAATTAAGGGAAGGACAGAAGAGCTTATGGGCAGATGACATGGCACCTGAAGCCTAAGGACTATTGAGAAAGGACCTTAGAGGATTGGGGGAGGGGAGACTCTGGGAGGTGACTAACATGCGCAGAATCACTATGGCTGCTGCGTGGTGCTGGAGTGGACTCAGGAGAAAGAAGGCTGCTGACCTGCACACTCCAGAGAAGCCTGGAGGAAACGTGGGCTCTAAGCAAGGCAGCATTTGCTGACAGATATGAAAAGTTCAGCCTGGAGTGGGGCAAGAGACTGGATCCTAGTGCAGGAGTGAAGAGGACTGACTGGGACAGGGGTGAGAAGAGCTGGGAACTGTGTGTCCTCAACATGCAATGAGCAGATGTTTGTCTGCTCCACTCCAGGGTTAGGGTGGGTTGTCCTTCTGTGGGCCCTAGCTGCCCAGTCTGATGAAAACAGAGAGGACAGGGAGTCTGGAGAGACCTGAAGTCTGACAAAAGAAGGAAGTAGAAGCTGCAAACCTAGCCAGACCTTCCCAGAAGGTGACTGAACAGGAAGATGGGGAGTCAGGCAGTGGGTGGGGGTGGGAGTTTGGGCTCAGAATATCTTTATTATTGTCTCTTGGATTTAAATATTTTGAAGATAGAAAAGTCCTAGATATGTGTAAATGTTAACACAAAGAAGGGATGTGGAAGATATTGTTGGCACCAGCCATGACTTCCCCAGGTGCCAGCAGCAAAACATCTTGATTGAAGTCAGGGGCTTGGACGAAGATGTAAGTGTTTTCTACTGATGGGTCCCATTTCTCTGTGGATTGCAATCCAGCGGGTCACACAACTCAGTGTGAGGCTTGTGAAGACCTTGGTAACACTGAAATCTTTCTGAAAACACAATGACCAAAAACTAATTCAAAATCAACTGCATAGCACATCCTTGCTTCTGGCCCAGCTTTCCGGTTTTGTCTCCTGACGTCACTGCAGCCTTGTTCTGAGCATGCATGTGCACTATGCAGAGGAGGCCTTCACACTAGACTACATCAGTCAAGACTCTGAAACACGGATGTCAAATGAGACACTGTGGTATGATGTGGATTGCAGTTTTTATTGTACACAAACTTTCTGTTCTTACGGAAACATGTCTTAGTAATAGAAAACAGACTTTTAATGTGTTTCTGCTGTCGTTCTTCAGCATGTAATTATCAAATTAGTTAATCTTTGGATTGCATCATGTTAGATACTTAGTTTTAAAAATTGCTATTTTGGGTTTGGAGAGATGGCTCAGCAGTTAAGAGAACTGACTGTTCTTTCAAAGGACCCAGATTGGAATCTAGCACCTGCATGGCAGCTCACAACCCCCTGTGACTCCAGTTCCAAGAAATCTAATACACTCTTCTTCTGGCTTCTGTTTTTTTTTTTTTTTTTTTTTTTTTTTTTTTTTTTTTTTTTTTTTTTTTTTTTTTTTTGTTTTTTTTTTTTAA